GACCTGCTGGCTGGAAGGAGACAGAGATAACTAACTGATTAACCCCCTTTAAATCCTTATAATCAGGGGGGAATCAGGTGTAGCCAATCTTATAGCCACCAGAGTGGGAGGGGTCATCACACTGTTCAAAAACCCAGAACGGAGAATTTTAATTACAAGTTTAGTGGCGATGACGTTGAAGTTTGTATTTCTTGTGATCGCATTCACGCTTCAAAAATTCAAAGATTATCTTGCTGAACAAAATGTTTAAGAATCATAAACCTTTATTCACCACAGAGATTATTTTCTGTAATAATCCAAAATCCGATGGAAAATCTTACCGACTTTTTGTCGAAGGAACCAAAGCTGTGTTAACTTCTGGGTTCACCCCTGCAGCCCTCTATTACAGTCAACAAACAATGTGCCTCTTCATAAATGATCTTCCTCCACTTCTTTTAAATACCAATAAATATATCACATCAATTCAAAAAAATACAGTGAATATTTTGTGCAAAGTAAATAGACTGCACATATTTTAGTCTTCCAACCACTGATAGCATTTTACATGCACGGCACATTCTCACACACTTTACAGACTGATGGTAGCAGCTCATCAAAAACAGAAACTAATTCATTGGCACACATTCACACACAGATGCACCAGGCACGCTGCGGTTCAGTATCTGTGGCAGGAAAACAACATGCTCAAAATCATCATTGTGATCCATGGTTATTTATTTTTCTGATTTCATATTTTGAAGCTGAGTCACTTGAACCGCACGTCAGTAAATAAAAGCCTTCAGGAACAATAAGTACAGCATTCATAGAGTAATAGAGTTTAATTACAGTTCCTTCCCATTCTGCCAATCTGTGAGATCATTATGGTGTGAACTGAAAGCATGTGGAAGAGCAAGAATCTCAAATCACTGTTAGACAAAGAAACATTGTTCTGGCTCTTAAATAAATAAATTGTTAGCTTGTAAAAATAATCATCATATTACTGGAAGTTGTGTCGTTTGTGAAGCTGAAGATGCAGAGCAGTATAAAAAAAAAGTGGAATGACTAACATTACCATCCTGTCACCATGCAACATGCAAGGCCGCCACACTCATTCATAGCAAATTAAATGCTGATAAAAAGTGTAATTTCACCTAATAACTATTTACTTTTCCTTTCATATCTTTGTAGTAAAACATTTGAACAACTATTGAACAGATTATGAGATGTAGTTTATTCTCAGAAACAGAAAAAAGGCCTCACAAACATGACTTAAGGTTAAGTTCCTCAGCAACCAAAACTGATGTCAAGGGGTCAATGAATTTGAACACATGGACCAAGCACAGTCTTCAGATCACTTCGCTAACGTTAGCAAAAAAGGTGCCAAAGTTTTCAGAATCACTTTTATGGGTCAGGGACGTGCACGCATACAAGGAATTTGACTCCAGTTTTACGTTGCTCTCACTGTACAAACACAGAATAAATAAACAGGACAATAAGCTCAACAAAACAACAATGTACAGATATATATCTATATAAACACAGACAGATAATCTGTGTAAAAATCAGGTTCCTCCGACTCTTTCGAGCACTCCGAACGGCATTTACCCAGAATCCACCGAGCCCGAACGAAGATAGTTAATTGTTGAGTCTCATTCGCAGGCCGTCAAATACAGACACTTTGTGACCGTGGAAATGAGACTCAATAATCAACTATTTAGTGTGTTTCTCTCTTTTCTGACGTACAGCCAAGGCTGCATCTCCAACGTTAGTTACCGGCAGGTAGTACAGAGTTATTTTTCAGTGAGCATTTGGTAT